GGTGCAGGCTCCCACCCTGGGGGTTTTTAAGAGGAGGTTGGATGACCACCTTACTGGGGTCGTTTGACCCCAGTGCTCTTCCTGCCACGGCAGGGGGTCGGACTAGATGATCTGCTCAGGTCCCTTCCGACCCTAGAAACTATGAAACTATGAAACTATGAAAACACAGTGCACCAAGACAGTGCAGCACTCAAGGGCAAGCTATAGTGTGCCTTTCCCAGAACATGCATTCCTAAGACAGGCTAACTGGCAGAGATTCCAGGTCAGGGAAACTCTGATGGATTATCTCCCAGGCCACCCAGATGGGAGGTGGTCCCTGGAGGAGTAGGGCTTGAGGGCCTTTGGAGGTGAGAAGCCCCAAGCCACTGAGCCTCAGCCTTGGGAAGTGGGTTCTAGACCACCAGAGGGGTGCTATGTGTCCTCGCAGGAATAGAGGGAGGAGGGGAGAATATGCTTTCCTGGAAGGGACCAGGGCTTCAAGGGATCTTGACCATTCAGTACAGTGACTGCTCCTGCTATGAGAGTCAGAGCTGCTTTGCAGCCACAGACTTTGCAATGTCATTAAGAACTGAACAGCCAAATGACACCTGCAAACCTCACCAGGATCCTGACCTTGGAACAACCTTGCTTTAGCACCGTCCAGCTGTGTTTGCTTTCTCTTGTGGAACTTCTGCTTCCTCCACAGTGAAGGAGGTGGGGATAACCCTTTCTGGTCCCTGACTTACAACAATGCCAACAGTTCTTATCACTTTGTCTTTTCACATGTCCCTGACTTGACTTTTCTATATGCCACCTGTCTCCGTAGTATGGCATGGCATGGTGTGTAGAACACTAACACCCACTACTGCCCAAAGACTTTCCCTGCTGAATAAATAAACTCTTTTGGTCATTTTTTCAGGGCACAGTGGGGGATGCAGGATCCTTCAGTCATCTGCCTTCTATGAGGGTGCTTGGAACAGCTGTGCAATTAGGGTTCAGCCAGGGAGCAACAGGGAGCAGAATTCACGGAAGGTAAATGGAGGAGGTGGTTTTGGTTCCCACCAAGGTGGAAGGGGAGACAGGGTAGAGGGGGGTGTTGATGTTGTCCCAGTGTTGGGGGTGGGATTTGCCAGCTCTTCTCAGTAAATAAAAATGGCCTTGAGCGTGATGTGACTGAACTGGATTTGTTTTCAAATTTGTTCACGGATGGGGTGCAAAATGTTCAAGGATGTGGGCTGAACATCTCAGGTTGCTGACAGAGAAAATGGGGGAGCAGTGGTGCAATCTGGCCAATGTAGAATGAATAGTTAAGCAATTAACTCCCTGGGCCAGTTGCTTTGTCCAGAGGGGGTGGAAACATAATACTGTCTCCCACTCCCTCTATCCACACACCAGATATTCTCTTCAGGGCTTTGGCTGACAGCAGGATGGTTGGGGGTTCTGACCATGAGGATACTCAGTAGTGGCCACGTGCCACCATGGCGATCGGAGGGAGGATGGCTACAGCTGGTGGGGCCCCATTGACTTGCTACCACCTTGCTCTCATCAATGGATATTGATGACACTCTGTCCCTGCCCCAAGGGGACACTCTGTCCCTGCCCTCTTCACTCAGGTCCCTGCCACAAGGGGACACTCCGTCCCTGCCGGCTTCACTCATGTCCCCATCATGTCTGTGCAGTGCAATATTAATCCTGCACCTCCCTGGGCAGCAGATTCTGCCTCAGCACCATCAGGATCAGCACTGGGATTGGGAGGAGAGGTGGGTGCTGTTTGTGTCCACACACAACTAAGCATGAGAGGGGGTGCTCTTTGGTTCCCTGCACCGTAACAAGGAGGCCTGGCATTCAGTCTCTGCATCAGTAGCAGGAACCCTGAGGCACTGTTAGAGGGAAGGTACCAGAACACCCTTGACCCTGACATGGGAAATGGTGTCTCTGGTCACATAACTTCCTCTACATGTGGATCCTAGGGTGATCTGTTGGGGACCAGGTGCTTGTCCCAAGGTCACCTGAGATGTGGTTGGCACAACATTCGTGTTCATGTCCTATGTTTTGATCACTGTGCTGTCAGAGCTGTTCCCTGGGTCCTGCCTTGGTGCCCATTGCCCTGCCATTGAGGAACAGGTTGAGGGAGGAGCTGAGGTCCAGCTCCAGGTGCAGTGCACCTCCTGGTTCCCCTGTGTTCGCTGGGGAGCTGATGCTGTGCATCCAGTCCCACCTTTTTTCCAGGGCCACCCTGCACTGTCTGCTGCAGGTCTCCTTTCACCAGCTGCAACTCCTTTCCAGTGGTGGCATAGGTGTGCAGACAGCCCTATCTCTTGTGAGGATGCAGGATAGCTCCTTATGGAAGAGCATGGTGTGCCTCCTGCCTCCAGAGGTCTGATTGTTGTGAGTCTACTCGAAGCTGGTCACCATCCATTTGGTTTTGACCCTGCACTGTGACCAATTCTGGTCATGTTCCCATGCTCTCATCTCTGTGGCAATCTGCTTGTAAACCTCCTTGCTGCAGTGCATGCTGTGGAGCTGCTCCTGGTACTCCTCCTCACCCCCAAAGGCAATGAGATCCCCCATTTCCTCATTGGTACAGTTCTGCCCTTGGCTGTAGGTAAGGGAGAAAGATGGGGTGGGCTCTGCCATGGACTTTGGTGGTACCCCTGGGATCTGGGTGTCTGTGGGTGGGTCTGGATATTACAGGATGAGAGAGGATCTGGCTGAGATCCTGGATGTAGGTTGGGGTGGGTGGTTGTGGGTCTTGGCATGTGGCTTCCTCTGACCCCAAATGGTTTGGGCTTGAGTGACTTTCCACTCCAAAGTGATCAGAGCATAGGCCATGTCTCCTCAAACCCCAACTTTTGAGGGGCATCCACTTGCTGCCAACAACTCTGCTAGCAATACCCACTATGCCTTGAGCGAACATGACTCAGGTATTTGTTGGCAATGGTCAGGCTGGCCAGGCTCCCCCAAGCCCTGAATTTGGCAAGGTCACCTTTCCATACATGTCTATCTGCCCCTTACCCCGGATATGAAATGCCAGAACTGGTTCATATGTAGAGGTGGGTCCATGCTGGGGCCTGTGCCATGGGGTGTTCAGGTGTACATCTTCATTTCTAGAATTTGGGGTCTGTGTCATAGTCATAGGGTCCTGGGTTTATGGTTCTGTACCTAAATCTTGTTGTTTTTTTGGTCTGTGTGTTTGGTTCTGCATGTGGATCCTAGGGTGCTTTTTTCTGTTTACATCTTCTAAGAGACCTTGAGGCCAGGTCCAGAGCACACTTAACACAGATATACAGGACTGGCAACTCTACAGAAAGCTCTTGCAGCTACCAATCATTATGGATTTGTTAGACAATCATTGGTTAAAAACAATAACTCTGGCAGCCATGACTGGTACTCAGGATTCTTCACTCCTAGGGAGGTCTGTAAACACTAGGCTCAAGAGACAAGCCAGCTCTTATCTGCCCTCTCTCTGCCCCCATGTCTTTATTGCTCATGCATGCCCTATGGGCAAGATTTAACAAGAAAGTGGGGAATACACTCACACAGTATATTTTATAGGCTGGTGGTGAAAGGACTACCTTAGGAAGTGGGAGATGTGGGTTTGAGTCCTCTCAGGGTTGTAGTGGGGTCTAAATCCAGGTCTTCCATTTCCTGGACGAGTGCTCTTGAAAAAAAGGTGGGTGCCACTGCCCATAAGCAGAGCTGAATTCTGTCAGTGT